TGTTTTAACTTCTGTAATGGACTGACGTTCAAGTTTGATAAAACTAGCTGTGGTGCGCAAAAAGCACCGAGCTAGTGACACACGCTGTCAACGAATGCCCAAAAAAGGGATTGATCGAAGGCGATTCAGAGGTAAGAAAATTTTTTGATGCAGTAATATCGTGGTAATATCCAAGTAATAAGTCGTTAGTTTCCATAGGACCGGTTAACATGGATCTCCGAACAATCGTAGCTACGTGAAACGCATTCACGTTACTCAACTGAATTGTGTGCGCTCATGCTTGCAAACAATGGCCGCTCCCTGATCGCCACAAGCTTAAACAAAAAAATATAAATGTTTACTACACATACCAGTAAAGTCCAATGAAGTTCATTTAAATCAATTTGAAATTTATCTAATGATAATTCTGAGGCGATCAAATAGAAAGACTACAAAAATAAACCAGTGATGTGTGAAGAAAGAGGCCCTTGATTGGCCAATTAAAAAGTCAGTTTTTACAAATATTTGGTAAAAAAGACCTCGCCATTTGTCCGCTGTCTTGGTGAATAGTCGTAGAAATCATCGTTGCGGGTCCGTCGCAGTGCAGCCTCAATCTCGTGCAAGTATACCCAAAAACCGACGTCGATTCCTGGCAACTCCTAACACCGCATCATCTCCTCTCACCTGTTCACGCTTTGCTTGTATATCGTCCAGAAGTAACTTCAAACAGAAGAAGGCGGTCGTCGAGGGAAAGCGGATCGTTAGGCAAGCGCGTTCTTAATGTTATCGGACTCGTGAACCACGCCGGTGCTCGTTGGACGTGCGGAAAGCCATTTGGGGTGTGCATGGGTATCAAGGCAACCTATTTTAGGTCGATCTTTCGTAACTTAAAAGACGCAGACCGCTGATCTCTCAAGATTACCTTATTCTAGAGTGAGACCGTCTTCCAATAACCGAGTTTTTGGTGAAATTGCCTGGTTCCAGTTTATGTGCCGACGAGTGGCGTCTTGTATCTTGTCAGCCATTCGTCGCATTCCAGTAAAAGCTCTATTCACTTGATCAATATGTTCACACAGGCGTTTGTGTGTAGAGAGGCGTTGCGGTGTTACTGAGTTGGCCAATAAGCAAGGTCGCATTTCACAAATATCTAGCGCCAAGATTGTTTTGATGAGGCGTTAGTCTGTGTTATAAACCGTTTTCCACTTGACAGATGTCAGCAGCAGCCGAATCTAAGCCCGAATTGCAGGTGTTAGAGTTGACGCACGATACTACGTTCTAGCAGTTCACTAACCACCTAAACGACCAAATCAAGGCCACTTTTGACTTGGACGGGCAGTTGACGGTGCAAACAGTGGCACTTTACAACAAACTTGATACCCACGACGACATTTACTTGACAAGCGCGTGACAAATTTTGTGTTTTCTGCTGCGAGCATGTGCTAGCCTATTGGGCACATTGATGGTGGCGCCCGGCAAGAAGTAAAGCTAAAACAACGGATAAATCAATGCAGGAGGTAAAACACAGTCATTAGGTGACTCAAGTAAAAATAAAGGTTTATCCGAAGAAAGACAAATGCTACAGTACAAGCCTTCTTAATACGTTGCACAACCCTCCTCGGCCAAAGCTCAGGTAATTTTCTAGTGGGATATATCGACAGATTCACGAGTTCCGTCACGAAGATGTAAAATGGCATTACGCAGACCCCTGCAGCCGTAACTACACAAATTATTCAAAAAAGGCAGACAAACTTTCACTCCTGTGTAATGACTTTTACCACAAGGAGGACAGCAAGGCAAGAAAGCTAGTTCACCAAACCGGAAACTGCCGGAGTCAGTACGTTTTTCCAAAGCGAGGACATTGTGTTATATTGAAACTAATTAGAAGTGGCAGCCACTTCAGGATCCTCTTAAGATTTCAATACGATTTCCTTTCAAGGAAAATGAGTGAAATGGTTTGGAATAGCCTCATAGTTATGCGTCTAGCGGTCATACCGAGCAGTTTGTTCAGACAAACCACAAAAAATCTTAGCGTGCACAACAAACAACTTCCACTTTCAATTTTGTTTTCACGGGGCGTCTGTCTGTGTTATAAATCGTTTGTCCCTTGACAGATGTCAGTAGCAGCCGAATTTAAGCACTACTTGCATCAATCCACGCACGACACTGTGTTGTAGGGGCTCTTCATCCTTAAGTGTTCCGGTTCGATGAGGTTTCTAGGTGGCAG